TTAAAAACACTTAAGGCCAGGTGCTTTGGCTCATGCCTGTAATCCCAGCACTTTGGGAGGACGAGGTGGGTGGATCACTTGAGGTCGAGACCAGCCTGGCCAACATGGTGAAACCCCATCTCCACTAAAAATACAAAAATCAGCCAGGTGTGGTGGCACGTGCCTGTAATCCCAGCTACTTGGGAGGCTAAGGCAGGAGAATCGCTTGAACCTGGGAGGTGGAGGTTGCAGTGAGCCAAGATCACGCCACTGCACTCCAGCCTAGGTGATGGAGTGAGACTCCTGAAAAAAAAACAAAAACAAAAACAAAAACACTTGAAAGGAATGATTCTGGGATAGGATGCTGCTTTCTTTTAATTTTTTTTTTTTTAAAGGTTTCAGCTACTCTGGGCACACTCTGCCTATGGGGTACCCCTGCTCTGCAAGGAGAGTTTAAAAAAATAAATACATTTAAAAGGTTTTTTTTTTTTTTTTGGTGAGACAGGGTCTTGCTCTGTCTCCCAGGCTCGAGTGCAGTGGTGTGATCATAGCCCATTGCAGCCTCTACCTCCCGGGCTCAAGCAATCCCCTCCACCTCAGCCTGTCAGGTAGCTGGGACTACAGGTGTGTGCCACCGCACCCGGCCAGGATGCTGCTGAATGGATAATGTTTAGTGGTTTATCACAGTTCTGAGGAGCAGAGACTCCCCCAAAAACCTACGGGACTTTGTAATTTGGAGGCATTTGCCTATTGACACAAATATACGGTTGTTTGACTTTTTTGTCTCCTCTTTTCACCTATAAAGATTCTTCCAGAGTCCTTTTCCACACTCACCATTCCTAAATCACTATTGAGATTAGCTCTGGTGTAAATCTGGCAGGGGGAGATGATTCACTTGTTTTTCATCCAAAGGTCAAAAGCTGGAAATTAAATCCCCATAAGGGGAATTTATTGGCTTGCTGTGGTCAATATGCAGTGAAGATTATCTTGCATTAGTAATGTGTGCATATGGGTGGCCAGCATGCCGGCCTGAGCATCTCATAGGTTCTTTGCCCAGCTTGTTATTTAGAGCTATAGGATTAGAGAAGGCATGTTGGATCCAGGCAACTGAGTTGAGTTGTAGTTACTATAACTACTTGTTTTGTTTGTTTGTTTGTTTGTTTTTTGAGATACAGTTTTGCTCTGTAACCCAAGCTGGAGTGCAGTGGTGCAATCCTGGCTCACTGCAACCTCCATCTCCCAGATTCAAGCGATTGTTTCATGCCTCAGTCTCCCAAGTAGCTGGGATTATAGGCTCATGCCACCAAGCCTAACTAATTTTTGTATTTTTAGTAGAGATGGGGTTTTACCATGTTGGCCAGGCTGGTCTCGAACTCCTGACCTCAAGTGATCCCCCGGCCTCAGCCTCCCAAAGTTACAGGCGTGAGCCACTGCACCTGGCCCTAACTACTTGCTTTCAAAGTTGAGTTTTGATATTGCTTTGAAATGTCAAAACCAAGGGACAGATTTTTGTCCCCCAGAACCCTCTATATCATTGTCTTGGTGTCAGGGACAGCCGCACAGTGCCTTCGGGCCGGACTGAGAAGAAGCGAGGCCTGATGGCATCTGCATCACAGTTGAGTTTTAACATAAACGAAGCTGCTGAACTCAGGACCGGGCGGATAGGAGCGAGGAGGGGTTTTCCATCTCATGGTAATTGGACCTTGGTATGCAGTGACTTTTCTTGTCTCTACAATCACCTCTTTGGCTTGACTGTCAGGGAAATGTTTACTTTTCAATGTGTCTCCAGTTACCAAAAAAAATCAACTGAAATAAGAGAGTTCCCCTACATTCACTGCTTTCAAAATGATCCCCTTTTAAAATACAGAACATCCAACATTGTCCTTCTAGCCATGAGGGTTCCAGATGATGCTTGGTAGGACAGCAAGGAAACGACCTCTGAGCACTGAGGTTTCTATGAGCCTGATGCCAACCCGAGTTTCCTAAACAGAGCCTTTGTCATCGTTACTCTGAGGAAGAAAAAGATTTAAACAGGTACTTCAAAATATTTGGAGTCCAGCAAGTTTAATTAAAATGAGTTTAAAATGAGAGCTGAGGAAGAAGGAACTGACGGAATTTTCACTGAAGGGAGGTTTGCATTTTAAAATTCAGAAGACTACCCTCCTTCCAGCCAAGAATAAATTGGAAACTATTTTAATTGACACGGATACTGCAATTCAACTGTTACTAGAAAGACAGATTAGTTGATTGATTTGCATTTTAATAAAACTAATACTTTACATTTTGGTAGCTAATGCTGATTTTCAAATGAGTTGAGAACAGTTATCAAGAGTTTCAATCCAGAGCCCTTTTTCAGTGTTGACTGAAGCATTCCTCTCTTTTGTGTGGAGTTTGCGTTTATTTTATTTTTGCCCAGCTGACTGCTTCCCACGAGACACTCATAAACCATAGACCTTAAAGGTCTCACCGGTACAGTGAGGCAGTGAGCTGGTCACACTGAAACGTGGCTGCAGGCACAGCTCTACGCTGCCCAGGTGTGTACCAGAGATGGGAGCTGGGAAAGAGGGCAGAGGGCCTCCCTTAATGGTAGAGGAAATGCTAAGGCTGGCTTTTTGTCTTATTATTTTATTTTTGAGACAGGGTCTTGCTCTGTCACCCAGGCTGCAGTGCGGTGGTGCAATCTTGCCTCACTGCAGCTTTGACCTCCTGGGTTCAGGTAATCCTCCCACCTCAGCCTCCTGAGTAACTGGGGCCACAGGCACGCACCACCATGCCGGCTAGTTTTTGTATTTTTTGTATGGATGGGGTTTTGCCATGTTGCCCAGGCTGGTCTCAAACTCCTGAACTCAAGTGATCCGCCCACCTCGGCCTCCCAACGTGCTGAGATTACAGGCGTGAGCCACCGCGCCCCGCCCCACTTGTCATCGTTAGTACTTTGGGGTCCTCTTCTGTGTCTAGAGACAATCATACAGAATAGCCCCGGTGACTCTTGGCCGGGGAGCAGTTTGCAGGTTTTTACTTCTGGACTGTTGGATATTTTTTACTTATCCTTAAAAACAAAATCCTCATGCAGCCATGTCTGCCGCCCGCCCTGCACACATGTCTGCCAGCTGAGAGGCATGGCACACGGCATTCTCATTTTAATACTAATAGCTCAGTCAGGTGATTTCCATGTTCTTGCACATGTCACACTTCCATTACTAACTAGTCATTCCATGTGGGGCCTGTATCAGTATTTCGCGAAATCCCCTGTTTGGGGACATTTACATTGTGTCTATGTTTTTCCTCTTAATATACAGGATAATAGTACAGGAGAATATTTGTGCATCAACTTGTTTATGGTGGTTTTTGAGACTTGTTTTTGTTGGTGTATATCTGTAGGAGTCAAAGGAATCAAGTGAAAGAGTCTACATGTTTTTAGGGCTCTTGGAACATCGTGGTGGCGTCAGGGCCCTCGTCCACCCCCACTTGCCTATTCCAGGCCGTCTGTAACACATGGCGTGGAAGAGCCAGGAGGACATTGGCCCTGGAATTTGATCCTGGGGTTTATTTCTTGCTCCCCAGGGACCCCTTCAAATCAGCATGCTCCTTTGGGAGGATTAAAGGGCTGCTTCCTGTAATGTGCTTTGAAATGATGCTCCAATGAAAGATGGTGGGTAAATAGAAAGTGACACCATCATCTCCGTCCCAGGCCCCTGTTTTTTTTTTTTTTTTCCTGGCTGCTGGATCACATATAATTTGCTCTCCACATGCCCCTCTTGTTTTCATGCTCTTGCTACTTTCATCGCCTTCACCCTGGGGTCTCCCAGGCAGGTTTTCCTTGTCCTCTAGACTTTGGTTTTGGTGTGCAGCCATTCCTGTCCAGGGATGCTGGCCAGGGCTCCCTATTGAGCATCATTTGGAACCCCTGGGTGTGTGAGAAGACACGGCAAAGCCAGCCCCTGCTTGCTCCAGCAGCTGACCCTGCATCACCCTTAGGGATGTAGTTTCCTTTTTAGAGGTTGATGTACTACTCTCCACATGCATTGCTAAAACCCCTCCAACATGACTGCCTCTCTCAGCCTTACCGTTTACTCCGAAGAGAGCAGAGTGTGAGGCTCACAATGAATCCAAATGTGATGTTGGTCATAAAGGTTGGTACCATTCCCCAGGAATGAAGCAGTCACTCTGTACATGGAATGTGTTAATGCCAAGATCCACGTCTCCCCGGATCCAGACACACAAATGAGGTAGGCACTGGCCTCAGCACAACTGTGCAGGTGGGCAGAGGTGAAGGGTGTCAGGGAAGGGCCCGAGGCTGGGTGTAAAAGTGTGGGTGTTCTATGCCTGGGCCGCTGCCTGCCCCTCCAGTGACACCAGAATAGTGCCACTTTCTATCCTTGCTGTTCTATTGCCTATGTTTAATAAATGCAGACGCAACAGTGAGCCTGGCCTAAAGCGAATGAACTTTGTTTTCTGCATCTCAGTTTGTGTTTTTACTTTTTTATTGTTGTTGTTTTGAGTCAGAGTCTCACTCTGTTGCCCAGGCTGGAGTGGTGTGATCTTGGCTCACTGCAACCTCCACTTCCCAGGTTCAAGTGATTCTCGTGCCTCAGCCTCCCAAGTACATGGGATTACAGGCATGTGCCACCATGCCCGACTAATTTTGTATTTTTAGTAGACCTGGGGTTTCACCATGTTGGCCAGGCTGGTCTTGAACTCCTGACCTCAGGTGATCCGCCTGCCTCGGCCTCCTGTATTTTTAATTTTTAAGTATGTGGGTGGGCGCAGTGGCTCATGCCTGTAATCTCAACACTTTGGGGAGGCCAAGGTGGGAGGATCACTTGAGCCCAGGAGTTCAGCCTTGAGATCAGCCTGGGCAACAAAGTGAGACCCCCACTCTCTACAAAAAATAGAAAAAAAAGCCAGGTTTGGTGGTGTGCACCTGAGTCCCAGCTACTCAGGAGGCTGAGGTGGAGGATCCCTTGAGCCCAGGAGGTCAGGGCTGCAGTGAGCCATGATTGTGCCACTGCACTCTAGCCTGGGCAAGAGAGCGAGACCCTATCTCAGAAAATAATAATAAATGTATGCATGTACATGTGTATTGGGGCATTGTGCTAGAAATTAAATAAAGCTTGACTTCACGAAGAGAACCATTCTAAGTTTACCTCATTTTCTTTCTTTTCATACTTTCTCTTTCTTCATAACATTTACAAAATAATTGCCAGCAATTTGGTAAGTTCATTAACTGATTCTCTCTTAAGTCCAGGCTGCACATCGCCCTGCTGATTCATGTGGATTCAATTTGTCCAACAGTTCTATCAATGAAGTCCTCATTACCCTCTCCTCGTGTGTGCAGGGGAGGAAGGTTGTAAATGCAGCCTGAGTGCGCCTTATCTAACTTTTGTTCTTCTCATGGATCTATAGATTTCCTTTACGGTGCTTTTCTTGCCCATCGTGTGGGATCTGCCAATAGGATCGTTGCCTCAGCTGCATTTATATTCCTGAGAAGTTTACTCCGTTTATTTCCCCTGGTTCCGGGTTCTCGGAGTTCATTTGTTGAGGTCAAGGACACCATGTTCTCAGGAAAGAAAATTTTAAAGAATGTGGAAAGAAAGAAAGAAAAAAAAAAAGCAACAGCTGCACATCACTGATCGGGTAGAAAAAGAATATAAGGATCTCAACATACATCCTGACAGTAACACATGAAGAGTCCTGCCCGCCCCTCCCACCCCATCTGCCTCTTTGTGACTGGATTGGAAACGAGCTCCATGTGTGCTGGGCAGGCAGGTTCCTGGCACCGGCAGCTGGTCACTTCTCTTTTCTGCGATCTGCCCCTCCCGTGCTACCAGGTTCTAAGAGGGACTTAGGAACACATTGCTAGTGCTGGCATTGGCTTGTGTGATGTTTTGGGTAGAGGACACGTGTGATTGAAGGCCGGAGTCGTGGAGAGAATCATGGACTAGAAATCAAATCTGCTGGGGTCTGACCTTGAGGAAGTTGCTTCCCTCAAGGTCCTTATTAGTGATCTGAGGGTCAGTTCATGGCTGCTAAGGACTTTCCCATTCTGAAGCCGCTGTTTCTAAGTAAAAGCAGCGTCGCAGACTTGAGTTAGTGTGGTGTGAGAATGCTGTTCAAGTCCATTCCTTAGGTATTTCTTGACCTCCTACTGTGTGACAGGCACTGGTGGAGGCTTAGCAAGGAGCTCTTTTGGCCCGTGACCCAGTCGCTAGGTGGTTTCTGTTGCCCTCCTCTTTTCTTCGGTAGGGTTCTGTGGGCTTGGGTCTCATCAAAAACCGCCGCCCCCTCTGCAGTTGTTCTGAATCTTGGCTGCAACTCCTGGAAGCTCAGGCTCTGGACCCACTTTCAGGCTTAGCAGCACTTTCCCCAGGTTCTGGCTCTCCAAGGTGAAAGCGCAGCCTCAGGGGAGGGCGCTGGCCCCGGTGCTCAAGGCTCCTCACATCCTGGGCCTTCCAAGTCTGGCTCTGAGAGACCGCCTGCAGGAACGCAGGTGCATTAGTATGCAGGTGTGCTGATACCCAGCACAAAGCAATTAGCCTGCTGCTCTGCAATTTCTGCCTTTCCCCAGCAAGTGTGGCTCAAGTGTTGGTTCCTTTGTCTGCATGGCCAGCACCGTCCTCTCTCCTGCAGGGAGGCCTGGGGGCTCCGGGAGATGCCTCTTCTAACTCTAGGAGTGGTCCGGAGCATCTAGACCAGAGTTGTCCGATAGAACTTTCTAGGATGATGGGAATGTAATCTGGTTGTTCTGTGCTATCCCGCACGGTAGCCACCAGCCACATGTGCACTTGCAGTGTGGCTAGCAGCTAATGTATTAGTTCAGATTTGTATGACTATTTTCCAACCTTTTGCAAGGCACAGCAAGTGCCAAAATTAAAGATGAGGCAAATGGTCAGCAGATGAGGTGGCAGGAGCTCCAGCTGTCCCAGGGCTGAGGGGCTCAGTGTCTTCACACACCTGTGCCCAGCCCAGCAGGCTGAGTGGAAGTCCCTGTTCTAGACCTGAGCTGGGGCTGGTGGTGTGACCTGTCTCCACTGAGTTCTTGGCCCGGAGACCTGGGGTGGGTGGAGGGCGTGGAGAAGTGGGCGGTGTCCTGCTTGGTGTCCAGGGTGGTCCGGGGAGCCCGGGAGGCTGACTCAGTCTCATCTCCTCCTGAGGGACTGGGCTCGGAGCTGAATTCCTGATGCCACACAATTATTTTCCAGTCTGACTCTCGTGTCCTTTAAAGTTGTGGCACACTGCACTTGGTTTTAAGAGCTAAATGTAAGGCGAACGCGGAGCACTTTAAATGTGATAGCTCCAAGTTCACATTGTTTGAGGAGATAAGGAGAAAGGAGCAGGTGCTTTGAATTCACTTATCAGCATTTTCGCAGGCTCCTGTCCCTCCGCACCCCCCACCGAGGTGCTGTGATGTTCCACCAGGATCTTGGAATTGGAGGCTTCCCCAGGCTGCGGGGCCACCATTTCATCAGCTCACCTTGCTGGTAAGGCCAGGGCTTTGTTCCTGGGAGTGCTTGGGCCCCAGGTGTGTGTGTCTGGAAGGCTCCTGCCGGGCAGGGCAGGGAGAGCGGCCTGGCCTGGGAAGTCAGCCCCTGTGACGGGGCTCCTCGAGCCTCTGGAGCCCTGGGGAGAGTTTGCATTTTAAGGTCACATCTCCATCCTCCAGGAGAAGGATGAGAGGGGCCGGCTTTAAGTCCTAGTTCTCGGGTATATAATTAAACAGAGATTTTCCTTCCTGAAGGAACAAAAAGAGGCCAAGGACAGCCTAATTGCAACCTCAAGATTGCTTCTCCAAGAGTGGCCTGAGCAAGTGGGCTGAGGTAGATTTGCAGCTCTGGCTGGTGTGGTGGCCTGAGCCAGCAGGGCCCAGGTTCGGCTGCTGACGGTGGTCCACAGGAGGGGAGGGTCTGTTGGGCAGGGGAGCCTCTGCCTTGCTTCCTTTCAGGGTGAGCCTTTGGTTTTCCTGTCCCAAATGGGGGGGCCACGTGGGAGCCAGCAGCACACACTGGCCACCACTGACCGCTCCTGCTGTCCTGGCACTCCGCCCGCTCCCAAAGCAGCAGCCCATAGTGACAGGTCGCGAGTGCCATCAGAAGGGTGCACCGCTTTATTTACGCGGCTGTCAGCCAGCCTGGCTCTTCCAAAGTCGCGCATTACCAGACGAGTGAAGGTAAAACAGTGATGCTTTATTAATTGCGGGTATGGCTGCTAATTAGAACCCAGGCCTGGGTTTTTATACCTGTTTACATACACTTGCTCCAGAGCGGAAGGACTTTCTCATCTCTCCTTGCCTCTCCCCCACCCCCAGAAGAGAATTTCAACTTTAAGACAAACAACTTCATTTACAAGTGTGTCTCTAATTAGCTGCAGAATTAGGGAAGCTGAGCTTTCCCCCATAGATCCGCTCAAGCCTCCAGGGAGACTGGTGGAATAGAGAGAATCGCATTTCCAATTATTTTGTTGAATTGCTAATTTAGTTATTGTGCCTGGTGTAATTGTGATGGGTATTGGGTGTGCAATTCAATTTGTTTTAAATATTTGTGGGAAGGCTGATCAGTAATGGAGCTGACCTATTTTGTGGCCCAAATTGAGAAAAAAAAGACTAAAACACAACAGCCACAAAGATAGAGTTTGTTTCCATTTTTATTTTGATCTCTCTCATCCCTCTTAAGACCATTGATGCAACAAAAGGATTAAATTAAAAGATGACAGCACTTTGATCTTCTCCCTTTGAAAGCTTAACTGTCCTTGGTAGTTTAATATGCAGATATTTCAGGGTAGAGTTTAGATGCATTGCTGGAGTTGAGTAGTTTCTGCCTCCCAAAATTGCATTTCTGCATGTGCCTAAAAGTGATTTGGGGTACTCAACTTTCTAATAGTGTGTAAAGTAGTGGAGGTGTATCTGTAACAAATAAAGCAAAGCCGTGAGAGCCACAAGTTCGCCACTCCTACTGGGCAGAAGTCCATTGCAGAGTCCCGGAACCTTCCCTCCAGGCAGCACCATGTGCAGAGGTTGGTGGCCAGGAACCCCACCCCTGGCATTTGCATAAAGCTCGCCCCTCGGGAGCCCTGCTCCTGGTTGGTTTGAGCCTGCGCAGGTGAGAGGAGGGCTAGGTGGTAAGTTCCCTCGTGGCTGGCGGTGACTCTGGAATTCCTGGAGGGCCAAGCTCCAGCGTCTCTCTTCAGCCAGAGTCTGGACCGGGAGGTATGGCCAGGGAAAATCTGTGATGTAATCTTGTTTACATGCCTATTGGGTGCTGAGTCAGAAACACAGTCTGGGCCTGGGCCAGGGCTGTGGCTTGAAATCAGAGCTCTGCTGGGACCTGAGGTCACAGAAATAGATTACAGGACCTGAGCCTTGGGCACGTACGACCGAGGTTGCTCACAGGTGACTGGAACCCCCTACCCTCCACAGCGTCCCGCCAGGCCCGCCAGGCGTCCTCAGACACAGGCTAACTAGGGCTTGGTTGGGCAGGATCAGAGGGTGGCAGGCCAGAGCAGATTTTCAGAAAAGGTTATAATAAAATGGGTCATAGACACGGCTGTTGTAATGAATTTTATCCTAAAGGATTCATTTTGTAACTCGATTAGCTTAGCAAGGTGTCAGGGTCAGTGTCCGTGCTTAGCTGCTGAAGAGAAGTTTAAACTTCATTACTCTTATGTGAGAGCTCACCGGGACCAACTGGAGGACCTCCACCCCAGGTGGATCCCTTTAACACGCCGTTCTGGAGGAGCTGGGCGAGGGCAGCTGACAGCCGCAGCTGCTGGTCCTGAGGAGGGGCTGGGTCCCGTGCAAGGACAGACGAGAGAGCGATCATTGAACCAGCCAGGCTGGAGCTGAAAAGAAATTGGCAAGCAGCTAGAGCAGCTGGGGATGGAAGGGAGAGGAGGCGTTTGTGGAAACACCTGCAGCGCAGGAGGGCAGGCTGTGGGATGTCAGTGGTAAGGTCTGTGTAGCCCCTACCCCATGATGGTTGTTGTTGTGGTTATTATTTGAGACAGTCTCGCTCTGTCACCCAGGCTGGAGTGCAGTGGCATGATCTCCGCTCACTGCAACCTCCACTTCCCTAGTTCAAGCGATTCTCCTGCCTCAGCCTCCCGAGTAGCCAGGATTACAGGTGCCTGCCACCATGCCCAGCTAATTTTTGTATTTTTAGTGGAGACGAAGTTTTGCCATGTTGCCCAGGCTGGTCTCCAACTCCTGACCTCAGGTGATCCACCCGCTTGGGCCTCCCAAACTGCTGAGATTAGAGGCATGAGCCACTGTGCCCAGCCTCCATTTTTTTCTACAGTGTTGTTACTGAGGTAGAATTTACATGCCATAAAACTCACCTGTTGTAAATGTACAATTCCATGGTTTTTACTATATCTGTGGAGTTGTGCTGCCACCAACACAGCCCATGTTTAGGACATTCTCATCACCCCACAAGTTCCTCTGGTTTTGCCGGAACTCCCTACTCCCAATCCCAGGTAATTTGCCTTCTTTTCCGAACATTTCATTTAAAAAGAATCATACAATCTGGAGTGTTTGTGTCTGGCTTCTTTCGCTTGGCATGAGGTGTTTATATCTTTATTCTGGCATATGTCAGTAGTTCATTCCTTTCGATTGCTGACTAGTCTTCCATTGTGTGGATATACCACATTTTGTTTATCCTCTTGCCTACTCATGAACATTTGGGTTGTTTCCAGATTTGGGCGATGATGTATGAAGCTGATAAGAGCAATCACAAGCCTTTGTGAAAGATGTTTTCATTTCCCTTAGGCAGATACCTAGGCATGGAACTGCTGAGTATGAAAGCTTATGTTTAGCTTTTTCAGAAGGTGCTAAACTGTTTTCCAAAGCGCCTGTATCACTTTATATTTACACCAGCAAAGTGTGTGGGCTCCAGTTTCTCCACATCCATGCCAACACTTGTAATTGTCTGTCTTCCAATTATAGCCTTTCTGGCAAATAGTGGATTCCCACTGTGGCTTTAATTTGTTTCCCTAGTGACAAATGATGTTGAACATCTTCTCATGTTCATTATTCATGTATCTGTCTTCTTCGGTGAAACATCTATTCACATCTTTTGGTTCAATTTAAATTGAGTTGCCTTGTTGCTTTGTAAGGATTCTTTATATATCCTGGATTCAAGTCCTTTATCAGATATATGATCTGCAAATATTTTCTCCCAGTCTGTGAGTCAGTGGCTTGTCTTCATTTTCTTTTTCCTTTTTCTTTTCTTTCTTTCTTTCTTTTTTTTTTTTTTAGATGGAGTCTCGTGCTATTGCCAGGCTGGAGTGCAATGGTACTATCTCAGCTCACTGCAATCTCCACCTCCTGGGTTCAAGTGATTCTCCTGCCTCAGTGTCCCGAGTAGTTGGGATTACAGGCATGCACCACTATGCCTAACTAATTTTTTTTTTCAGTAGAGACGGGGTTTCACCATGATGGCCAGGATGGTCTTGATCTCTTGACCTCGTGATCCACCCGCCTCGGCCTCCCAAAGTGCTGGGATTACAGGCATGAGTCACTGCGCCTGGCCGTCTTCATTTTCTTAATGGTCTCTTCTGGAGCACAAAAGGTTTTAATTTTGATGAAGCCTAATTTTTCAATTTCTTTTTTCTTTTATGGATTATGTCATATCTAAGAAATATTTGCCCAATCCAAGATCACAAAAATTTTCTCCTACTTGTCTTCTTGTGGATGTTTTATAGTTGTAGCATATATATTTAAGTCTGCAATATATTTTGAGTAAATTTTTGTCCATGGTGTAAGAGTCTAAAAATATAACTCTGTGTATGGATATCCGAATGTCTTGGCACTGTTTGTTGAAAAGGCTAGCCTTTCCGCCATTGAATTGTCTTGACTCCTTTATGGAAAATCAATTGATCCTAAATGCTAGGATTTTTTTTGAGACTCTCAATTATGTTCCATTCTATTTGCTTGTGTTTATATCTGTGAACATTTTGAAATCAGGTAGTTTAAATCTTCCAAGTTTTTATCAAAATTGTTTTGAGTATTCTGAGTCCTTTGCATTTCTGTATAAATTTTAGGATACAGGGCCGGGTGCAGTGGCTCACACCTGTAATCCCAGCACTTAGGGAGGCTGAGGCAGGCAGATCATGAAGTCAGGAGATCAAGACCAGCATGGTTAACATGGTGAAACCCCATCTCTACTAAAAAAATACAAAAAATTAGCTAGGCCTGGTGGCAGGCGCCTGTAGTCCCAGCTACTCGGGAGGCTGAGGCAGGAGAATTGCTTGAACCCGGGAGGTGGAGGTTGCAGTGAGCCAAGATCGCGCCACTGCACTCCAGCCTGGGCAACAGAGTGAGACTCCGTCTCAAAAAAAAAAAAAATTTAGGATACGTTTGTTAATTTATTTTGCTTGTTCTTCTTCTTCTCCTTCTTCTTTTTTTTTTTTTTTTTTTTTTTTTGTTTTGTTTAGACAGGATCTTTCTCTTTCACCCAGGCTGGAGTGCAGTGGGGTAATCACGGCTCACTGCAACCTCAATCTCCCAAGCTCAAGCCATCCTCCCCACTCAGCCTCCTGAGTAGCTGGGACTGCAGGCACATGCCGCCACACCTAGCTAATTTTTTTTATTTTTTGTAGAGACAGACTCTCCTTATGTTGGCCAGGCTGATACTGAACTTCTGGGCTCAAGTGATACTCCCGCCTCAGACTCTCAAAGTGCTGGGATTATAGGCATGAGCCACTGTTCCTGGCCTAAATTTGTTAATCTCTAGAAAAATGTGTGCTGGAATTTTGATAGGGATTACATTGACTCTATAGATCGACTTGGGGAGAACTACCATCCCAACAACATTGAGTCTTCTCATCCATGAACATGGACTAGCTCTTCATTTGTTTTTATTTAATTGCTCTCAGCAGTATTTTATAATTTCAGGGTACATGTCTATTTATTTTGTAAAATTATTCCTATTTATTTTGTTGGTTTGGATGCTATTGTCAATGAAATTATTTTAATTTCGTTTTTAGATTTCTTCTTGCTCTTGTATAGAAATACTATTAATGAGTTTTTTATTTGTTTGTTTGTTTGTTTTGAGACGGAGTCTCGCTCTGTCGCCCAGGCTGGAGTGCAGTGGCCGGATCTCAGCTCACTGCAAGCTCCGCCTCCCGGGTTCACGCCATTCTCCTGCCTCAGCCTCCCGAGTAGCTGGGACTACAGGCGCCTGCCACTGCGCCCGGCTAATTTTTTGTATTTTTAGTAGAGACGGGGTTTCACCGTGGTCTCGATCTCCTGACCTTGTGATCTGCCTGCCTCGGCCTCCCAAAGTGCTGGGATTACAGGCGTAAGCCACCGCGCCCGGCTGAGTTTTTAAATTAATCTTGTAGTCAGTGACTTTACTGAATGCATTTATTAGTTCTAGTTTTTAAAAATGGATTCCTCATACAGGATCATGCCATTTGTGAATGAGTTTTAATCTTTTCTTTCCAATCTATAAACCTTTAATTTTTGTGTAGCCTATTGTATTGGCCAGCACCTCCAGTGCAATGCTGAGAAGTAGCAAGAGCAGACATTTTTGCCTTACTCCATCTTAGAGAGAAAAGCATTCAGTCTTTCACCACCACACATGAAGTTACCTGAGGTTTTTCACAGACGCCCTTTCTCAGGTTGTGGAAATTTATTTTTATTTTTATTTTTTTGAGACAGTCTCACTCTGTAGCCCAGGCTGGAGTGCAATGGCGCGATCTCCACTCACCACAACCTCTGCCTCCCAGGTTCAAGCAATTCTCCTGCCTCAGCCTCTCAAGCAGCTGGCATTACAGGCACACGCCACCACACCCGGCTAATTTTTTTTTTTTTTTTGGAGACAGTCTTGCTCTGTTGCCCAGGTTGGAGTATGGTGGCATGATCTTGGCTGACTGCAACCTCTGCCTCCAAGGTTCAAGTGATTCTCCTGCCTCAGTCTCCCAAGTAGCTGAGACTATGGGCATGTGGCTCCATGCCCAGCTAATTTTTGTATTTTTTGGTAGAGACAGGGTTTCGACATATTGGCCCCACTGGTCTCGAACTCCTAGCCTCGTGTGTTCTGCCTGCCTGGGCCTCCCAAAATGCTGGAATTACAGGCATGAGCCATCGTGCTTGGCCCACACCTGGCTACATTTTACAATTTTTTTGTAGAGACAAGGTCTCACTATGTTGCCCAGGCTGATCTCGAACTCCTGGGCTCAAGTATTCCTCCCTCCTCAGCTTCCCAT